CTTGCTGTATCTCCAGCTTCTGGAACAGTGCCTGGAACACAGTAAATAGATCAGTGAAAAATTGTGGTGAATGAATGAGTAAATAAGTACTTAGCAATATTATCAATTTGAGGACATGACTTGAAAAGCCACTTCTTTTAAAAACTATTAAGCAAAGTTTAATTGTTTGCATTCTTTTTGCTTAATAAATTACTTGGGTAAGCATAGAAAGTTTTACAAAATCATGCTATTAATCTTACTATCTACATTTGGAAGTGGGTCACACGTTCGACCTACCTAAAAGTGGGTCTCTTAAAAAATAGAATGTGGCAACCTAAATATTTAAAGGTCTTGTTAAAGATGTCATTCTGAAGCTTCAGAATCTCTTAATTCTGGACCTTTTGAAATCTTTATCTTACCTTTTGTTATTCCTCCAGAAGCACCAGGGCCAGCAACAAAAGGAAAAAGAATAAGCTAAGAGGAGGAAAAATGCTCATTCTCTTTGGTGATGTTGTGGTATTTCTGGGGTGTTTGTAAAGTAAAAAATTATTTCTTTTCTTCCTCCCTCCCTCCCACTCTTTCTCTGTCTCTATCTATCTCTGCCTCTCTCTCATTCTCTCTCACTGTTTCCTTCTACAAGACAAATTTTAAGTGGTTTTTCCAAGCTTCTTATCTGAACCAATAACATTAGTTGTGGACCAGAAGAAGCAGGAAGACTGATATAGAAATTATTGAATAATGAAAGGATAATGGCCCAAGGAGCAACAGATGGAGTTAATAAGGAACTGCACACTCTATGCAAAGGTTTCCCTACACTAATAGTAATCTAAATAATAAATAGGAGCCAATTTTTATTGTTTTGTATTGTGGTAATTAAAAAGCAGTATCTGTTTATATACTCACCAACTCATATAAACGTGTAAAATCATAATGCCATATATATTTTTTAAAGTAAACTAAAAATGAACTTTCAATGTTATACAGAAACAAACTTGTGTAATAAGCATCACTGAAAAATGAAAGAAAATTACAAATAACTCTAAAATAAAGGTAATAACTTCCATTATATAGTTGCTACATTATGGGATGATTTATATTATGTGTACCTTGAAAGCAAGAAGACATTTTTTAAAAATCTGGCTATGGTATTTCCCATACATAAGTGCTACAAAGCACACTAAAATAGCAAAATTGCTCAAAATCACTCTCTTTAAATGAAATTGTTGCTACCAAATATATATGCATTACATTTAATCAATAATTTTCCTTCTGAAATAAAAAAAGGCTTAGCCTTTATTTCAGAAATGAATAGTTTATATTTTTCCTCAGTGGCCCCCTGTATTTCCCGATGTGAATGTCACTAATCAGCCCCACACATAAATCCTTTTATTATTTTACTTGCTTTGGAACCACAAACAGAGTTCAATGTCAGTGAGCTGGCAATGTTGTGGCTTTCCTCTTTCAAAATTAGACAACCTTCCCAAGGGTTATAGTCTCTCATGTAACCAAGAAATTTTCCTGCTCATCAAGACTGTACACTGTTACCTACTTCCTTTCATCTCAGGGATTACTTCTTAACTCCCAAGTACTACTTAACCTATTTTGACTAAATTCTTGTCCCCAAATTATTCATCTTTATAATGACCAACTTGTTGCTTTTTTCCTCATGGGAAACAATTTGGGTGTTACCTTAACAACATCATTATACTAAAAATTAAAGAACTTCGTCTCTGCTCAGGATCCTGTTCTTCTAACTGGTGAGTCTCTCTCCTACAATTCTAATATGTGCTCCTAAGATATAGTTCTTTTTGTTAGAGCAGTGACAATGGCAAACAAAGAAAGGCCATGGAATTAGTGACCCAAAAGCTCTGAATGTAAAGCTTTGGTTTTTATACAGGGATTTAGATCTAAGTGCTTCTGATATTTCATCATTTCTCCTAACAATGCAATCCTGTTATTCCTAAAGCAGAAGAAATGGAGTATCAAAATAAACAAAGGGCCAGACAGTCTTTCTCTCAAACTACTTAATGGATTGGTCTTTGTCAAACAAGTAAGGGCAGCTATTAAGCAATAAGTGATATCTACTTCAGAGGCATCAAACCATTTTAATCCTCCCTACATGCTCACTTCTTTTATATTTTCAACTTATAAACAAGCAGCTGTCTTTAAACATAGTCCCAATTCAGGATGCTTTGAGCCACTTCAGTTCAAACCCTCAGGTATGGGTACAGAAACTTTCTCATCATATCACCCATTGTCCAGGGCCCCACCCTCCTTTTTTTTTTTTTGGTGTTTAAGAGCATGAAAAAATATGAAGGGGATGTCGGTGCACAAGTGTTAGTTGGGGCCAAGCAAAGCCCTCTGGGACAAACAGGAATCATTTCTGAGTGTTCATTGTTGAAGTTGAGGTAAGAGAGCTGCACCCAAATGGCCTTCATCTTTTGAGGTTAGAATGACCATACATACTGCCTAGTTTGTCCAAGGCATTTCAGTTTATGCCTATTGTCCCAATATTATTGGTACCATTATCATTTTCAAGTGTCCTAGTTTGGGCAACATATTACATGGTAGCCCTCTTTACGGTAGAACTTTGCCAAATCCATCCACTTGGGCATCCTTTATCAGCTCTCTGGATCCATGTTCTCCTGCCTACCTTGAGATTAACCTCCCTTCCTACTTTCCTGACTCTGATACCCCCAAACCTTTTTATCTCCAGAAATTATTTTCTTCTCTTCAGGTTGCAGAAAGCTTCTCTCCCTCAGAGCCACCCTTCTATCTCTTGCTCTTTCCTTCTTCTGCAGTAAACTCAGACTCAGACAATACTGATAAGCAACCTGCACGGATGGTCGGCACACAATGAGCAGTCTGGTGCCATAGTAGTGAAATATTTTAAAACCATCCCTGACTCAGAGCCCATCAACAGAGGAGTCTCTGACTTACTAAACTAGTCTATCATAGCAGATGGGGCACAAATATGTTTTTCCAGAGCTCCACAGGTGATTCTCACAGAGGTCACTGGCAGTCCTGGCTTCATACATACCAAGCACCTCACATGCCATCTCACTTAATCGTTATAATCCTGGAGAGGCAAAATAGTGTAGTAGTTAGGAGCACAAGGTTTTAAAAATAACCTACTAGGGCAAATTTTCAACCTGTGTGCTGCAAGAATGTTTAAAATATGCAGTACCTGACTATTTGGTCAGGGGCACTGACCTCTTTTCTCTTAGATTGTCAAATAAAAATGTGACAACAGCCAAGACAATAGCCATCTGGTGTGAATGCCCTGACTTGAACTGTAAATTTATAGGTCATATAATAGAGTTGCATCTTATTGGTCACATCACATGAGGTTGCATCTGATCAATTAATCCTTATATACAAATACAGGCACCTGATTTTTTAAAAAATGTTTTTATTGATTTTTTTTTTTTGGAGAGGAGAAATAGAAACATCCATTGGCTGCCTCCTGCATGCCCCCTACTGGGGATCAAGCCCACAACCCAAGCATGTGCCCTGACCAGGAATCAAAATGGGACCTCTCAGTACATGGGATGATGCTCAATCTGAGCCACATCAGCTGGGTTAGGCACCAGATTTTTTAAAAAGTTACTTTGGCCCTGGCCAGTTTGGCTCAGTGGTAGAGCGATTGCCCATGGACCAGAGAGTCCTGGGTTCGGTTCCCACTAAGGGCACATACCTGAGTTGCAATTTGTCCCTGGCCCTGGTTGGGGTTGTGTGGGTGGCAACCACTCGATGTGTCTCTCTCATGTCAATGTTTCTTTCTCTCTTCCTATCTGAAGATAAATGCAAAAATGTCCTAAAACACACACACACACACACACACACACATTACTTTGGAGCAAAAAGGGTAGGTAATTACCATTATTATTTTTCATAAAGCAATCAAAATTATGCCTACTTGTCAGATTAGGAAAAATGTATTTTTTGGTGTGCTGCAGAATTTTAATAACTAGTTTATGTGTGCCATGCGATGAAAAGGGTTAAAAATGTCTGTACTAGGGTTTAAATTCAGGTTCCAACACTTACTAGGATATCTCTGAAATATTACCTTAAATCCCTGTATCAATTTTCCCTGCAAAATGTGGTTAACAGCACTTATCCTCAGACCTGTGGTAAATATTAAGCAAGCTAATACATGTAAAGTACCTAGTAATTGCTTTTCAGATGTTAGCAACTAGTGCCTGTTTTACAGTTAAGGACATTTCCAAGATCAGATGGCTAGTGGTGATGCTATCGACAGGCAGGTTTTGAGTCTAACTCAAGGCTTTCTGTGACACCACTACCCAAGTGCTCTCCTATATATAATAAAAAACAGTAACAGGCCAATGAATGATATGAAAAGTACTTTATTTTATCACGTGATACCGTATTAACAGCCATATTTACAGCTGCCTAACCACAGTATAGATTTAAATAGGGAAAATGGCTCAGAAATAGCAGTATTAGTGATTCAAGTATTGATCTTTATTTGATAAAGATAGCAGTTTTGATGATTTATCAGTTTTAAAATGCAATTTCATACTTTGTTCCTATGGTTTTAAAAAGAATTGTTTTGAACTAAATACATACAAACTAGATATATTCATATAACGAAACTACATTTGAAAACAAGCTTAAAAATTTCCCATCTCAATTTTTCTCTTCTAAGTATTAAAAATGCCTAATTCCATCACCGCATTGAATGCCTCGGCATCTTTTATTTGATTTCCAAGGGACTTCCTGTAAAGTAACAAATGTCAATCTTCCATCATAAAAACAGTGATAACCTGGAATTTTTTTTACCACATTCCCCAATATTCTTTCAATTCACACATTCTGCTCTTTTGAGATATGTTTCTATGTTAACACAGCAGAAAAAACACAACACTAGGATTTTGAAAACCTAAATTCTAAGTTGTCACAAACTACAGAATAATCTTAAATAGGTCATGAACCTTCCTCAGGCCTATGTTCTCAAATGCAAAAAAAAAAAAAAAAAAAGAGACATATTTGTTGTCCTTTATTTTATCTTCACAGTAGCACTTCAAGTTAAGTAAGGCAGCATTATAATCACTTACAGAGGAATTTCAATCTCAAAGAGGTTACACAGTCCATCTAAGATCTCACAGGTAGTGACATGGCAGAGTTAAACTTACAGAATTTTGCTCATGACCCTAATACTGGTATATATTCTGCTGATAAATTTGTTAAATGAAGCAACAATTTCCCGGATCCCTTCCAATGATCACATCTGATGCTTCTACTTGCTATTTTTTTTTCTCTTCTTTCAACCGACAAATAAATTAGAAAATATATATATATTCGGTCACCAAATTTCATTTATCCTGGTTCTTTGATTTAACCACTCTTTAAAGTTTTCTTGTATTTCTACATTAAATCCAGAGAAAAGTTATTTTTTCAGATAGTTTCCACCACTGTCTGTCTCTCTGAAAGCTACTGGACTTACCTGTCTGTCAAAGTAGAGATTTGCTAAAATTTTATAAACATTAATTCTTTTCTTAAGTTATTTCAAAACAAACAAACAATTAATGGCCTTACTAATTAGTCCCTGGAGTAGCAGTTAAAATGTATTTTCTAATGATTGTGTATCCAGTGTCCTGTCTGGCTTTAGTCGGGAAATACTCTTATTCTACCTGACGAGCCTCCCTTTCCCTAACGAGAAAATGCCAGTCATAAGAGTCAGGAAACTCTTACTTTCACTATTCCATAGGAAGAATAGACTACCTGAATTGGAAGGTGAAACTTTAAATGTTATATGAGGGACTCAGGACATTTCCTAAGAGGCCATATGACTAATTTAAAAGTTGATGATATGTGCTTAAAATAATACATTATTTTATTTGTAATAAATGTATGCATGTGCTATTTAGTCATGCTGATATCATATATAAATACATGCCTAAACTAAATTAAAGTTGGAAAAAAAAACATTTATTTTATCAGCAGTCCTGAAAATTCAGCAGAGCTCAATAAATAGGATGCTCTCACAAGGAGGGAGCTTTAAACTTTCGGCAATTTATATAATTTAATATGCTAACATAGAGATAATAAACAGGGCTCGGGAACTGGGAGTACACATGGGAAAAGCAACTCCAAGAGTTCCTTTATTTCGATTGTATTGCTTTCTTGTCATCCAGAGGGAAGATTTTGACTTCGAAAGTTTCAAAATATCTGAGAAGAGAATTTACATCTTTCTGTTCTAGATAGTATTCTTCTGCTATTTTCTGAGCAGTCCATGTATCTGGATTAAGTTTATGATTATTGAGAAGTGTCAGTGCCTCTACAATGGAAATTTTGCCTATGGGAATGTTCTCAATATTTATGTTAAAGTGATGGCCTTTTGGCAACCTGGATTCCTTTGGCTCTTGAGGTGTTCCAGTATCTTTGACCTAGTAACAAAAGACAAAAAAACAAATAAAAAGGCTTTCAAGATGAAAGAAAAGATTTGAGATGCTTCTCTACAGTCATGCTTCTCAAATCTCCACTATTCTTTTTCAAATAAATACTGCACATGCTTCTCGAAACTACATTTCCTCATTATAATGAGCCACAGTTCAATGGCATTTTGACCACATCATCATTTGGTAACTATAGCTCAATCATCATAAAGAAATTCAGGTAATTCTACAAAATAATAGTCAAAGGTATACCATCTACTCACATTATTTAATTTACATTATTAAGAAAACAATAAACTGATTCGATCAAGACTGCTTCAGAAGGGCAGGACTCTGATGTTGCCCTAAATTTACTTGTCAATCTTCATTCTGCTTCCTAGTTTTTTATTTCATATTCAGTGCCTCCAAATACTGTGAATGAATTTAAATGTTGCTAGAGATTTTGCCTTGAGAAATAAGCTCCTACTACTTCAATAAATATAAAATAAAACATTTTATGCACACCTATCTTTCCATTTGTCTGTACCATCCAAACTTAATCCTTGAATTTGTGCTCTGTGTTTCACTGCTGTTACCTAGTTATGCCAATCATTTATTCCCTTTTTCTTTTCCTTCACCTGCTGCTGTCAGGTCAAAAATATAAAAATGCTGTCGTAACCTTTTAAAAACACTCACAAACCCCAAAACCACACGTCCTTTATGACCAGTTTCCTTCTTTTTAATTAAGCTTTAAAAGATAATGGTTTAGCTCTGGCCATTTTGGCTCAGCGGTTAGAGCGTTGGCCCATGGATGAGAGAGTCCCAGGTTCAGTTCCTGCTAAGGGCACGTACCTAGGTTGCAGTTTGTCTCCGGCCCTGGTTGGGGTCATGTGGGTGGCAACCACTTGATGTGTCTCTCTCATGTCGATGTTTCTCTTTCTTCCTCTCTCCCTACTTCACACTCTATCTGAAGATAAATGCAAAAATGTCCTCCGGTGAGGATAAAAAAAATAATAATAATGGTTTATGTTGATATCTAATCTAGAAGACTTTTCCGGCTTTCTTTGAACTCAGTGCAGCATCTGACGCGTGGTTTCAATGCCATCATTCTCCTAGTTTCCCACCTATCTATCTAGTGCTTCCTTCTTTGTTTTCTGTGGACTCCCTCCCTTCAGCTGCTCCTTAAATGTTAGTGTCCCCAAGTTCTGGCGTAGGCCCTCTTTTCAGCCTATACTATTACTCTTCCTAAGTAATCCCACATGTCACATGCAGTTTCATGACTATCTACATGTCTACTTTCAAATGTGATCTCAAACCTAGACCTTTCTCCTTACTTCCAGACACAAATTTCCAAATGCATAATGGGCATCTCTACTTAGATCATCTATAAGCGCCTCAAAATCAACATATCTAAAATCGAACTTATCCCTTCCCTCTAAAAACCCAAGTATATCCCCAATGATTAACACCATCTACCTCCATATCTCATTCCAAAACTTAAAGCTCCTCTTAAGTCATGTTACACCAGACTCCTCCGTCTCTCTCACTCAAAATTTCCAATCAGTGATCAAATCCTGTTGATAACGTCCCCTAAGTCTCTCTCAAAGCCATTCACTTCTCTCCCATTATTAAATCACCTTAGTCAAGCCAATGTCTCTTGAAGGAACTACTGTAAAAGCCTCTTAACTGGTCTCCTCTAACTGGGTAAAATGCATTATGTTCTCTCCCAGTCCATTCTCAAAACTATGCCTATTAAGCCCTGGCTGGTGTAACTCGATTGGAGCATCGCCCTGTACACCTAAAAGTGGTCGGTTTGATTACTGGCCAGGGAACGTACCCCGATTGTGGGTTTGATCCCTGTTAAGGGGTGTGCAAGAGGCAGCCTATTGATGTTCCCCTCTCTCTAAAAATCAATACAAATAAAATTTTAAAAATAATTATTTGATATGATAGGCATAGTATCCTTGATGTCTAGAGACATCACAAATGAACTGCCAAAATGTAAAAAAGGGGCAAAGAACATAAATAGGTACCTCAACCTTTTTTATCATCACTCCCCCATGAACACTTTTAGACTTTCCTAATAATCGCTTTAAAATGTAATAACACTATATGTCTCTTTATGTATTGCATCTAAATATCTGTGCTTTATACATAAAAAGCACTTTATATTTTTGTTTCCCAAGAGCCAATTTTCAAATGCATGATTTAGTGTAACATGAGAGAAACAACACTTGGAATTATTATTCAACACCTGCCTAAAAATAACAAAGGACATGAACATCAACTTCTATTATCTTTTTTTTATGTGAGCATCTGGTCATAAATGAACCCAGCAACTGCTATTACATGTAATACTTTACAAACTTTATTTTATATATGAGTTTTAACTTCTCTTCTCTATTGAAAATTATACTAAAAACTATATCTGTGCCAGTCTACTGCCTAGCCACAGAGACAGACAAGAGAATTGTAGAATGAAAAAAAAAATCTGCAAGTTGTCACTGGCACTTGCCTCTCCTTTAATCAAACTCTTTCCCCTTCCTTAGAACCTTCCTGCCTCCACAAGCTCTTGTGTTTAACTTCCACTGATCCTTGAGGTCTGAACTTAAAAGTCACTTCCTCAGAAACCATCACTGATCCTCCAATCTCAAACAGGTCCTCCTGATACACTCACAGTGCCTGTATTTCTCCTTCACAGACAGATCAGTAACTACATACTACGGTTGCACATATGTTTAATACCTGTGTCCCTCACAATACTATAAGCACTGTGAGAACAAGGACTAGATCTATTTTGTTCATCACTATATACAGAGTACTTATGCCTGGTATTTACATATGGATTTACATATAGGTTCCCATTCTCAATGTATTCTTTAACGTATCCTATCTGAACATATCTTTAAAAAACAAACAAACAAAATACCACCAATACAACACTAAAGGAATCCCTGAGATTAGAATATATCTCAATACACTGAAGAGGAAGAAGATAGTATTAAAGCTCTCCTTTGGTCATTCAAATGACAACCACTAGAAGTACCTTACCAAATCTTACAAATTCTGAAATAATATAAAATAATTCACACAGTTGCATTCAATTAATACTTTCACAAGTCTTCTAGAATTTCAGTAAATATCCACTGAACCAAGGCCTGGGTGTCTTGCTTAGACTTTGCCAGTGCACTTATTCTGGTCACAACTACATTGACATGTTCCACCTGCAGAGCATCTTACTCTCTTTTACTAGTTGGCCACACTTTTCCGATAATTTTTCTGGAGTCAAAAAAGGTTAAATTATTTACTTAATTAAAACACATTACCTGCACAGAAGACACAGGATCTTTGGAATCAACATACACATTTCTCAGTAATGACAGCAGTTTGTCATCTTTTCTAAAAATGTCTCCCTTAACATCTGGATGGCCTAAAGAAAGAAAAAGAATGTCACAATAGTCAAAGAGTTCCCTCTGAGATCCTAAGCATTTAACACACGACAATGACCTTTTTAAAAGAAACAAACACTTTGACAGTACGAAAAGTAAAAGTAAACCCAAACGCTAGGTTAGGCTCGCGTCCACTGTTCTGTGAAGACATCTAGAGAGAACTCCCGCTGCACAGGACGCCTTCTGATTCGGACTCCCGGAACCAAGCGGCCGGCCGGGCCACCCCTGGTCGCCACCACCGGCTGCGAAGAAAGCGGAGCGGCCGGCTCCACACCCTAAGGGGACTGGCTCAATGTCACGGGCCTGGAGGCTCCACCTTCCCGCGCTGGGTGGCCGAGCTCTGCAGCAACTCTGGGCCCCGGCCACTGGACCTACGTCCGCCCGCGCAGCACCGCCCACCAGCCCGCACACGGAGCCCACGAGCCGGCCCCCCGCGCCCCGGCACCACTTACCGCTTATCTGCTCTCGCAGGAGGCTCTTGGTGGACGGGTGCCGGGGGGCCGGAGAGGGCTTCATCTTGCTGATTTCCCGCTCCGCCCGGTTCTCGAGGTTGAAGTTCCTGATCGCGCGAATCACCGCGGCCCCCATGTCTTCACAACATGATGCCCTCAGGTTCACACCGCACGTGGGAAAAGCCGGCGAGCGCGACCTCCGGGACGCACCGAGCATGCGCAAGTCTGCGGTCGACCCGGTCGCGCGCCGGAAAACGGGCGCTGAAGGCGCACGGTTTGCCCCCTAGCGTTCGGGAGGGCACACGCCGCGTCTCGCCCGCCGGCAACCACAGGGAGAGCGCCTCTCCGGAGCGGGGCGGACGTGCTCCCACCTGCGGGTGCTGGAGCGGAGGGGGCGGGGCTCAGGCTCAGACCCACGCTGGTTCCCAACACTGGAGACTCCTGGGGACACCCGGGAGGTTAAGGCAGTTCCACGCGGTGCAAACTTTCTGACTTACTTCCTCCGGAGTAAGGCCGGGCATTGGCTTAAGCTTCCCACGTGATTCAAAATTGCAGGCTGAGTTGAGAAAGTCGTAAGGACATTGACCTTGGAGTCCTTTCGCAGGTCCGCGCAGCGAAAGAGGAGCTGGTAAAAATGGACCTCGTTGCACCCCATAAAGGAGGGTTCGAAAAACGCCCCTTCCAATTTTTGTGAAAGGAACGGAAAGAAAGTGTATTCGTTTTGAATGAATATTTGTTCTCTATCACTCTTATTTAAATGGCCCTTATTTTCCTGTCACCCTTGCCTGAAGCATTTCTGAGCCACGTGTTCTCGTTTTTTTACATCCCGCTCTCATTTTTTAACTAATTTTATCTATTTTACTTATGTTGCCCTTTTTCACCCTGTATTCTTGATACTAATTTGTGTTATTTGTCCATACTTTTAAGTGCTGAGTCACGGCGTCGTTCCCGTTTTCCCTGACTCATTTCTTGTTAAGCCAGGGAACCCGCTCATTGAAAGGGACAGCCAACGAGACAGAAAAAAACGGGTGTTAGTTCTCTCTCTCTCTCTCTCTCTCTCTCTCTCTCTCTCTCTCTCACACACACACACACACACACACACATCTCAGAATGGATTGTTGTTGCTAATTTTATTTAAAGTCTTTAGAAATATTGCCATTAGTCCATAATAAAAGAACCTACCAGGAAGTAGCTGGGTTTACAAAGCTACAATATTTTTCACAGACTGTGGCTGCAAAGATCTGTTTTTCGTGTTCCCAGATCTGCTCAACAAAATGAAGGTGATTGTTTTTTTGTTTTGTTTTTAAATCAGTTAAAAACAAGAAAATAGTCCATGCAAAGATAATCTAAATGAAGTAATAAAACTTTTTTTTTTAAAAAAAAGAATCGAAGTAAAGAAGGGGCGGTTTTATTTAAAGAAAACTAATGGGATTATTAAATATATTTAATCATAGCAAAAGTACTACAAGAACCCTAGCTTCCTCCACTGGGATTGGTATAGAGTTATTTGGTAAATTATCCTGAAGGTGGCAGGCTACTACAAGATTTCCATCTCTGAGACTTAAACATGTTCCTAACTCCATGATTTTTAGCCCAGGTATTCATATTTCTACAGGTGCTGAGAAATGTTCATCTGCCCCTTTATGTCCATGTTCAGAAATTATGGTAGCAATTCCCCTCATTGCCTGTTAAAATATTTTAAAGGTGAAAAACTAATTTCATGGAAATTCTACCACATTTTTTGGCAGCATGAAAAAGTAATGTTAAACAGAAGTTATAAGAGGTATATAGATTGTTGTGGGGATTACCTCATGAAAGAATTCCTTGAACTTCCACATTTACACAGAGTTTGGATTCAACATTTATGGAACATCCAGCCCATGCCAGCTGCTTTGCCTAGTCTTGCCTGGTGCTGCTAAAGAACAGAAGAAAAAGAAGGCAGAAGTACTCCACCAGAAATGCACAATTGCCTATCACTCCTTGAGAATCATCATGGAATTAAAACTTGAACCACAAATGCATAATTCCAGCTCTTCTTGTCAAAACATTGGAATTAACAGGAAGTCTGAATTCAGAACTCCCTCCTGGGCTTATGTTAAGGGTCAAAGTCAGGTCCCCAACTAGCATGCTGCTCAGAATTAAATATCTGTCTGAGTGGAGTGTTATGATGGGTTCATTTTGCTGAATACCTTGGGACCCAAATAAAATAAACCCAAGGACTTGTCAACATGCTGGCATGTAAACTCTATGAGAAAAGGGATTGTTGTTCATTTTGTTTACTGCTGTATCCATCACATTGAACAGTGCCTGGTACACAACTGGAACTAAATAAATGTCAATTAAATCTCAAATGAACCCAAAGACAAGTAAGGCACCTGAGCTGGAGTCCAGACCCTAGACAGGTTCTCTCTGACTGAACACCAGCCCCTTTGCCAAAAGTGAGTCCTTGTGAGAGTCACTAAGTCTGGTTGAACCTACATTCTTCACCTTAAAATTGGGGTGATGGTAATTTCTGATGGGTTTTGCACAGTTTAAAATTTTTAAGTGTGTAGTATGGCCCTGGCCAGGTAGCTCAGTTGGTTAGAGCATCGTACCTATACGCCCAGGTTGCAGGTTCGGTCTCCAGTCAGAGCACATAGAAGAATCAACCAGTGAATGCATAGATAAGAGGAACAATAAATTTATGTTTCTCTCTCTTCCTACCCCCTCTCTCTAAAATAAATTTTTAGCTCAGAATATGATGTTCAATATTTGCAATACTTTCATTTCCCAGAGGAGCAGGGATAAGTTTGAAAAAGAACCAAACATTCTGAAGTCCTGGCCGATAGGTGAACAAAAGGTATAAAGTAACTATCTGAAAGTAAAGTAAGAGCTATATTCTTCAAAAATTTAATTTTAAAAGTTGGCATGCTAAATTTGATCTTTATTTACTGATTTGTGTGCCCTGCACATATGATGGCATTGCATTGCTGGGCTCACTAAGGTTTGAATTTGGGTGGCAATCATTAGCTCAGAAGCACAAAATGTGACCTGTCTTTGCCTGGCATTGGCAGCAGAAATAGTCTCTAGACAGTCCCCTCCTTGCTTCCCTTACCCCTCCTCAATCTTTATCTCTCTGCCTAGACCCCCTCCTTTGAATATAATTTCAACAGCATTCTGTGTTCTCCAAAGAATTGCTGTCACTAAACCCAGGTGTCTGGTGACTCAAGGAGCCCAGGACAGCCCTCAGAGATTTTACTGACCAAACTCGAACTGCTAATGGGCAGCACAGCAGACATGCAGAATGACTCATCCTGGCAGACAGAACCTTCCTGGGCCTGGACTCCAGTTCAGGAGCCAGGGTATTAGTGAGAGACCAACCAAGGTCATTTACAAAGTTCCCAAGCTGGGCCAGTTCCATAGTGACGTACGGTGACACAGTGTTGTAGGTTATTGAACCTTGAATATTTTGGGGAAAACACCCAAAACTCAAAACAAAAACACACTAGGTTTTGAGCAGATCTAGTGTTCATATTGAGAAGCACTGGGTCTCATAGATTAAAATTATCAACCAGCAGTTACACCCAGATGCCTGCTCTGTGGCTATTGTTATTGTTTGAGTTTCCTATTAGTGATAACAAATTACTACAAACTAGTGCCTTAAAACAGAACAAAATTATCATTTTACGTTTCTGAAGGTCAAATGTCCAAAATGGGTCTTAGGAAGCTAAAATCAAAATATCAGCAGAGTTGTCTTCCTCCTGGAAACTCTAGGACAAAATTCCTTGTTTTGTTTTGTTGTTGTTGTTTAGTTTTTTGGCTTCTAGAGGCTTCCAACATTTCTTGGCAGCCAGTAATTGCGTAATTTCATTGTCATCTTCTCCGACTATGATTCTTCTATCTCCCTCTTTCCCTTATAATATTCTTGTGATTCCATGGATCTAGCATGAATAAATCTAGAATAATCTCTCCATCTCAAGATCCTTAATTTAATCACATCTGCAAAGTATCTTTTGCAAATTCTGAAGATTAAGAGGTAAACATCTCTGGGGTGGGGGGGGCATTGTTCTGCCCACCACAGTCATCATCTTCAGAATGTTCATATCTACCAATGTAGCTATAATCATGTAGTAAAAGTCAAAGATAGAATGATGGAGAAAATGCCCATTATTCTTCATTGAGCTCCACTGAGCTTATATTCCAGTGAAACTACCTAACTGTAAAAGCATAAAACCATTCTGTTTGGGTAGGAGTCTTTCTCTCAGGTTTGCCTCAGGGCCATAATAGCTCACTAGTGAATTTGACACTGATGTGGCAGGTCAGCACTGCTCAGGAGGTAATCCTTCTAATATCCCAACCTCTCCTCTCTGGAGCGCCTGTATCTGAGAAGCCTCAGTGAGCAAGAGTATGAAATTTCCTGTAAATTATGCAACATTACCAGTAGCTTCTCTGCTGCAGCTTCTTCTCTTGCCATTCTTGTACACACTATTTAGAAATGAACATTAAAACAAATAATCATCAAAACCTGTGGAATGAGTCAAAGTAGTATTGGAAGAAAATGTGTGTGTTTCTATTAAATATATTTGTTAGAGCACCAGAAAGATTAAAGGTAAATAAATGTGGCCCAGCCAGTGTGGCTCACTAGTTGAGCATCGACCCATGCACCAAGAGGTCGCCAGTTCAATTCCTGGCCAGAGCACATGCCCAGGTTGTGGGCCCGATCCCCAGTGGGGGGCATGCAGGAGGTGGCCAATTGATGTTCTCTCTCATCAGTGTTTCTCTCTCTTCCCCTCCCTTCCTCTCTCTCTAAAATCAAGAAAGAAAAACAAAATAAAAGTAAATAAATATGAAATAAGCATTTAAGTCAAAACACAAGAAAAACTATATAAAAATAAATTTAAAAAATATTTTAAAGGACTGAAGATAAATCACAAATTAATTATATAGAAAAAAACCCAGTTCTTTTAAAATATTCAATCTGAAAAATTAAAGTAAAAATAAAGACACAAATAAAACTCCTTAGACATTGTTTGGAAAGAATATGATCAGAAATATAAAGACTTTTTTTAATTGAGAAAAATGATATGTACAGGTTTGTATACAACTTTAATACATATCTCCTCTCCTTGAGTGACTTATTTCTAACCAATAGAGTGTGGCAGATGTGAAAAGAATTTAGAACAGAATAGACTAGGGATAGCTATAACA